GGGGGGGGGTTCCTCTTCTCAGTGTACAATTTTTTCCCTCGTTTCCGCAAAAAATAGGAGAAAGAAAAAGATAGAGATAGATAGAGAGAGAAAAGAGGAAGAACGAGTACGATAGAAAGGGTTCCCAGTTGAAGGGGTGAAAGAGAGAAAAATGCTGAAGAGCTACGAGGTTTGCCGACGAGACAGCGTCTCATTGTCGACCTGAGCATAGCAAAGTATTCTCTCTCTCTCTTTCTCTTTCCTCTTTCTCAGTCTTTCATTCATTTTGCGAAATCATCCGTCCCATTTCACGAGTGCCAGACGAGAGAATCCACTCGACTTAATGAAATATTTCTCTGCCGTCATTAGCTTGCTTATGCTGCCCTTATCGGACCGTTTTTCTCTCCTTTCAGATAGTTAAAAGCTTGTAGAAAAAGTTTCTCTCTCTCTCTCTCTCTCTCTTTTTATCTTTGCATAAAAAAAAAAGAAAATTATAAAAGTATAAAAAGAGAAATTTGTAATATATTTCTATTAGGATCAAACGTTAAATCCTTCAAAATGTTGCCTAAAGTTTACATTTAATCCGATTATATGTTATTCATGTATGAACCATCCCTTATTCGTAGGTGTGTGTTTATCGTATTTAGAAACTAACGTTGAATACTGTTGGATCGTGACATACTAATTTACTCAAGTCTGAAGACGTTGGTAACATTTAGTAGGTTCCTCATTCTAACGGGTTATACACCATGCTACCGAGTGCGTATCCATGTTCCGTTGGAAAAATGATTAGGTCGATCTTCCCGTGCTTTTAGTATACTTATTATCATACTTTAATACGTTTTTTTAACGTTCTTTCAATTACTCCTTAATTTTTTTTATTATTAATATTATTATTGTTGTTTATTGCTTTCAGTAATTTTAAAAAGAAATAAAGAGAAGTTTTAATACACCTATCGTTATTTTTAATCCAATAATAATGAGTCGATTTATATTATTTATTAATACAATTTCATCGTATTATTATTAGTTTGTTAATTTTTACACGAAATATAAAAAATAATTACGAATTTTACGAGAAAGAAAGTAGAATCCCTTTAAAAGAAAAGGATCGAAGTATACGTATGTCTCTGATAATATGTATCATTTTACTGATATATTCTGCAGAATAAATATCTTATTTTCCGGAGAGAGAAAGAGAAAGATAAATAGAATGAAACTCAAATAACGCGTTGAATACCTTGCGAGAAAGTAAAAAAAAAAAAAGAACAACAAACTCAAAGCAAAAAGAACATCGAATAAAACATATGGAATATAACGTTACTCGCAGAACATATATACACATATAAAAAACGTATATAAATTAATTAGAAATAATAATCTCATAAAATTCTACGTTTT